TGTAATGAGTAATATCCCTTGCTAGTTCATCTTAATTTTAAATCTACATTTTGCTATTGTTAAGCGTATTGTTTTTCTATAATTTCGCCTATAATTTTAATATGAACTATGTGGGCGAATAAGGAATATAAGGATTTTCCGGTCGCTTTGCAGAAGCTCTTGCTGTTACATTTGCAGTAAAAGTTTCCCTTAAAGCAGTGTATAATAATTGTATAAATATATAACAAATATTTCTTTATCTTAAATATTAGTATCAGATGTACGAAACAGATACAAGTGGCTAAAATTGGAATAAACTTGTAATCCACGCTTAAAGCAGCCCTTTAAACGTGTGTTTACCTGCGTTAGTTGACGCAGTTTTGTTAACCATTCCACAGTCGCGCCTAAAATTTGAACACGCGACATCTTCTCATTTTCCCCCTGAAGTTGTTTAAACAATTTAAAATCGCAAAACAACGTGCAATAACGCACATAGACACACAGGTAAAACTGATTAAAGGGAAACAAAGTATTGGTAACTAGCAACCTGCGCTTATTTCTTTACTTTTAATACGAAGACGAAAGATTCGACTTTTAATAAGAAGACGATACAGTCTTATCTTTCGCTTGATGCTTTTGATAGAAAGGTGAAAGATTCGATAGAGAGGTAAGCTGGAAGGGAATACTCCGGCATATTTTTCCCCTGATATTTTTGATAGAAAGGTGACAAATTCGATAGGAAAGTAAGATAGGGCAGAACGGTGGGTACTCAAGCTTATGTTTCGCTTGAAATTTTTGATAGGACGACGAAAGATTTGATAGAAAAGCAAGACAGGAGGGAACACCGAGGCTTATTTTTCGTTTGATATTTTCGAGGCAGGAAGGTGACAGATTCGATAGAAAAGAGAAGTAAGACAGGTCAAAGATACTCACGTTCCGTTGTCGGCAAGCGCGGGCTGTGGCCAAGCACGTGGCACAGGTTCCTCCTTGAGTATCTGCCTCATATCCTGAGGCGCGAAAACGAGGGGCGCCCGTGGGTGGTGATGAGGTGGTGGTGGTGGCGGAGCTACGCTCGCTCCGTACAGCTTACGTCCCCAGTGGCCTTCAAGTTCGACGGGGCTTCCGCCCCCAGTGGCGGGCCCCGTGCCACCCCCTGCGCCGAGTCCGAGCCATGGCGACCCCCCAGCACCCACGATCGTGGAGCTGGGTAGGAGACCACTCCACTCGTCGGACCGCGTCGTGAGGCCGTACGGACTCTCCTGGGGCAACAGGCTTTCTCCTTCTTGTTGCCACCCTTCGCGAGAACCTCTTTCGCGGCTGATCGAGAGAAACTCTAACCTTTCGGTCAGAACGCTCCTCTCCACCGCCACGAGTTATCACGATGTCGCATCAATTAAAGTCCTCCTTTGAACTTCAATTCCCTCTTGTCGTTCATTAAATGTCCTCGATCGAATAGCAACGTTCGACCTCGTCACACCATCAGATCCCGATAGCCGACCGAGTGTCGGCGTCTACGCACTTGCTACGACAATTGTAATTCCGCGAGGAGAGAGAAAAAAGACAATTTTTTTTGTTTTTTTTTTAGATTCACGAGTTCGCGGATTAATTAAACACACGAGTACCTTATCTCTCTCTCTCTCGTATTTTTCTCTGTTCCACTTTGACCACTTTGTTTCGTTCGTTCACTTAGACTCTTTGTTTACAACGGTTCGCGCAAGTTTCTTGTGTTCGCGATCGTCACTAAACTTCGTCACTCTTTCGATATCACTTACTTAGCCGCCGCGTAGCACCCAGTCGTTGTCGGTAATACAGGTGTGCGAAGGGTGAAGATCTTACGAGGATCTTCCTACCTTTCCCGGGAGTATTTTTTCGAACCTTCGATTCTCCTGTCAATTTCTCGATCTAGCTTCCTAAACGTGTGTACGCGTGACTCCTCCGAGATTCTCGAACGATCCACCTGGGATGAAACGATCGAGGTGGATACGCGTACAGTAGCGGTAATCTGAGCAGCGGGCGATGGTGGCGTGGTGCGTATATCGTCGGCACGAAAGTGTCGGTAGGGTGTCTCGTGACCAGAAGAGGTCCTTCGAGGTCCCCAGCCGCGCGTTGCTTCCCGTTACGGCGCCGCTTGTCGAATGTGTCAGGGCCGGCACGAGCGGCGTGCTAGCGGGTCCCAACGGGGATGGGCTTCGAGGTTTTCAATGGGTGTGGCTGGCAGGAACGCGGCGCAACGACCAGCCTGTCGAGTTCGCCTTGCCCATCCTCGATTCTCCTCCAATCCACCGTCTCCCCGCCGGCCAATCACCGTCGATGTCCTTCCACGCCACCGACGCCCATCTCGGATACCAAAGACGGTGGCGCCGCGACGGCGACGTCACGAGGCTGTCATTACGGCGCGCGCCGCTGACACTCCAGGCCGACGTCGTGTCTCTCTTCCATCCGACACGACCTTCGAACTGCGATTATTAAATCGAATGATCGGCGAACAGTTCCCCGGTTACAAAAGTCGGTCAGGTACATCGTTCAATTGACATTTGAGAAAAACCGATTACACGGACACGGCCACATTTTTCATTTAAAACGCCAAAATAGCATTCGTCCCGGTTCACCCCGCGCGGCCAACTATCGCGTATAGTGGATTTATCGTAACTTTTTCTAATTTGAAAATTGTTGCAATTGTTTTTGCGTAACTTTCTTGTTGACCCTTTCGCCGCGGCGCGCTTGAGAGAAAAAGTGTTCGCTGTGTAGGCGGAGGAAACAGTTGTTATTCAACGCTGGTATAAAAGTAGCTGTGATTGAAAATCAACTGTTTCGTGATTATTTGTTCGATTATTATCTGTGAAGTGCGAAAATAAATTAATCAATTCTCTGTATTACATGGGCGTACGTGTACGCTCTTCGTAAACGAGTGACTTTTACGGAGCGTGCATATACCTACGCCCTTCTTAGCCAAAGGGCTGAGTTCAAATTTGAAAATACCTTTGGTTAGGCACATTAAACACTTATTTAATATATAACGAATTATTGTTATTAATAAAATTTAGTAAATTTGATTGATTTGGTCTTTCAAGGTATTGAATTCTACTTTTTCTTTCTTCAAATATCCTCACTTTTTACACTTTTCGTCTCGTGGAATGTAAACGTTTTCGCGCGAAAGCAGAGTTTAATTTTCCAAATTCCACTCACATTGATTACGTTTCACGGTAAAATGGAAGTTTCGATTTCGAATCGAAGCATCGAAATCGATCGAATTTTCCTCCAGCTTCGTAACTCTCGTTGCAAAGGCATTCCTTTATTCCGCCTCGCGGTCGAACTATCGCTAGTTACTCGAGAAATTCCATCGGCAATGCTCGAAGCGAGAATAAAACTATGTGCAAAAAGAAAACATAATCGACGTGGCTGAGAAGAAAATAGCTGCAATGACTGGTGTCCTCCGAGTATTTGCAAGTTGGTATGCTGAAATACAGCTCGATGGCGGAGCAGTCGGTGTCCTTTTCGGGCGAAACGTCGACGTCTGGCAAGGAAGCTATCTTGGCGTGCAGACATTTAATGGCAGGTGCGTCACGTATCGCGAAGAAACACCTCACTCTGATGTGGAAGCTGCCTCGAACTCGCACCTAGCCTGCCCCAGTTTTTATCGAAGCGTAATCAAGTACGGGGAAATCCATGGTCTCTCCCTCAGGAGACCATCGTGAGCCTCACTAACAACTGGTTTACCTGATCTTCGTCTTGTCAGGTTTAGCGTTCTTGGTAATTTTCTACACCTGGTTATCACTTGTCTTCAAAGGAATAAGCGTTCAAAGAAGATGTTGCTTTCGTCAGTTCTTACGTACGAATCAAAGATCCACCGTTTTCTAGATCATTAATTGGCAGTGACAACTCGAGGATAAATTGTACATTGTTGTTTACCATAAATGGGAACATGGAGATTCTCTGATCCTACAATTTAGTGCTGTTTATACTGTATCATCGGTTTTAATACACGAGTGGTACAGTAACTTCAACGAGCATTCAGTGGTATCATAAAATCTATAAATGGCATTAATAAGATAAGCAAAAATGACGATTACAGTTTTGTTTCTCAATACTTGTTTATTGAGCAAAAATGATTTCCACGTGAAAAGTACAATTTCAATAAAAATGAAAAAATGAGGTTAATAAATAAAAACGACGAACATAGTCGTATGTTTTTCATTAATATTTATGTATTAAGCAAAACTTATTTCCACGTGAAAATTAAAAATTGCAAATTGTGATTGATAATTTAATAAAAGTATGAATTCAAAATTACTAATACGATAATTGTACAAAAACTGTGTTTCAGTTAATTATTATAATATGCACGAAATAATTTCATGTTGTTTAATTTGTTCCACTGAACCAAATTACTGTAACATTAAATTTAAATTAGGCTGTGCTGAGGAACTTAAAACATTTGAGACAGGATTAATCGAGTAAGATCAAACCCGCAAAATAAGGGAAGCGGTAGCTTCCTACCATAAATTTTTACGTTCGTGACATTCTAGCTGGAAATGTAATTATAGAATTTGTATGAATAAATTTATGCCTTAAAGAAGACCTGGTGAATTGTAAATTTAAGAGGGGCATATAAAAGTCGAGTTCTTAGTGTTTCTCAATACTTCTGCCTTTTTCGTCGAAAGCTTATTACGTTCGAATTCCTCCTCGAGAAAGTTTACGCTTGAGAGTCACTGTTTCGAGGGTATGAGGTCTATCAAGTAAAGATAACGCATTTTTTGTCGGGTAATTTAACTCCCCTTTTCTTCTTTCTGCATCACAGTTTCAAGTATACTTTTTCAAATGCTCTACGATTAAACAATTGACATTGACATTTTGCAATAACGACACAAATAAGACCAAAATATATTTTGAAATACTCATCTATTTAAAAAAAAAAGCGAAACTGCTGCATATGAAACCTATTTATTAAAATATTTTTGAATTTTAATATCGATACCTTAAAAAAAATACTGCTGCACATAAACTTTATTTACTAAAATATTTTTGGAATTTAAAACTGATGCCTAAAAAAAGAATATTGCTGCACATAAAATTTGTTAAAGAAAATATTTTTCTACTGTACGCTTAGGTATGCAAATGGGCAAATTTTTAAGAAAGTATAAAAATGTGTAGTGCAAAGAATAATAGGTAACTATCGTGAGTACTGAGACGATCTATAAAACAACTCCTGCAACAAACACGACGTCACGCTGATATTTATGAGATTCGCGACACACTTACACGTGAGTGTCGACGTTGACAGTGAGGTAGATGACTTGACGCGTGAAAAGGATGAATGCTCGTCACAGGTAGGGTAATGAAGTTGGGTGATATGGATAATGAGGGTCTGCTGGCGTCATTATGAAGTGTTCGAGAGATGTGCGCGTGCCAAACCGGTTTCACTCTCTTCCTTTTTTTAAAGTTTGTCTCTCTTTCAGAGACGTGATTCATGAGATCCCTCTTGGCTGCCCAACGGCCTGTAACATTGCCATCTTATGGCAACGACGCGGGTAGTCTAGGGTATGAGAGCCCATTTAGAAGTGGAACTACCACTTTTTGCTCCTTCATTCTTTAATCCATGAAAAAACCTTTTCTTACGTTGACAAAACATTTAATAACTGTGACGTATCGTTTGATTTCCGATGCTCTATATTCTAAGTGATACGTTACTTTTATTAGTTGCTAATCATTCTGTCAACTTGAACGATTACATGCTTTTTTGTTATTTAGCGAATAATTATATTTACATTCAATTGTATAATTTAAATTTAACTATAAACAAAAGAAATCCTTTTTTTTTTTAATTTTTATCTATGGTATTTAAAGGAAATTTGTAAAGAAGATCTTGCTATTCCGAAATTTGTAAAATTCACGTTTAAATTGCAATTGTTCGAATTCTTTTGACTTTGAGAGCAAAACCTGGCACGAAGAAAGGGAAGATTCAAGTAAGTGGCAACTGTGTGGTGCGTTTGAATGGGTTGCTTAA